CACTGCTCTGAACACGCCCAGTGTTTATTTTAAAGGCTCCCTTGTGGTGTGGCTCTTTCTCTATCAGCTCCTTCGGATGCGAATGGTGATAGTAGAGGCTAAGAGACGTAATTGTGGAAGGTCGTCCCAATATGCTCTCTCTCCTTCGCTCGCACGTACTGCGCAACTACAGAGGTTTTTCCTCTTTTCGCGGCCCAAAACTGCTTTATATCAGTGGCAGAGCTTTCACACGCTTTATCGCCTCCGCCTACACGTTTACGACCTCCACCTTTATCATATCATTCCACTATCGCTATACAGCGGGAGGATCTCCACTATTTGTGCACTCCTACACCAGTATATGGTCTAATTCTCTCGTCCACGCTCAGTATCTCTTCGCCGTATGCTCATATAAAGTCCACACAGCAGGGCTCTTATCTAGGGCGTTTTGGACGGTCTAGTTCGCTTTTTTCACTAAGCTCTCAACCAGATGGCACGCTTACCTCGCGCTCGATCCGATGGTCAATTTCCGAATCAACTCCGGCCCCGACTAACCAAGCCTCCTACGCTCCGGAGACTGTAAATTGGTATCAGATTCGTCTGGTACGACCTCCTACTGGGAGGGTAGCAGGCCGCCTTGGTAGGGTAATGGATTGCAACCGTTCTATCGTCTGACATGACCACACATGACAGCAGCTCAGAAAAACGATAAGTGATACTGATATCCTGTTTCTTCATGATAAACTTCTGATAACGATGACAGTGATAGCGGCCGATTATTGATAGCGGTGGACCTCACCATTCTATCGTCTCCTTTAAGTCGCGAAACAATTCATCGTTTCCTTGCTGGTCATCATGCTGAACACGGGAACCCTGCTTTCACCTGAGTCATCAGAAGAGCCGCCGCCACTAGAAGACTTTGCAGAAGAGGATCAGTCAGCGAACGAGGATGTTGACCTAGGTTCGCCTTAATATTTCCCATGAATTCCGATGGTTCCCTGTAGTTTCCAGGATTACAGATTTCCTGGACGAATTCGCATATTTGCTTGTCGGATACACTGTTAAGAAGATGCAATCGATGGAACGGGGCGTACTAGAAATAGAGGTACGTCGCATTTTCGACAGCTTACAAACGGCCTTGTGTCAGCGGTTGCGGCGCGGTGAAGTCAACTTTTTCCGGCACTCGGGAGGGGCGAGTCTGCAGTTTTTCGACGTCAGCGCCTGCAAGGGAGTGAGAGCTCTTGGTTGGGAAAAGCTACTTATTATTTGCGGAATATTGGAGTGGTCGAAGTGCCTCTCCCGCCCTGGAGCTCCCTTCCTAGCCTAAGATCACACGCTACTGTAAAGCACATTAGACGCTGACGCGAATTTGCAGACTGACTCATTCCAAGACGTACAACTACAGTATATAACCCCATTCCAGCTGAATCCGGAGAGAAACGGATTGGTGAAGGCACTACGTGAGAAAACGGACGAGTTCATCAAGTCAGACAAGGAAATACATAATGTTCTGTGGCATGTAAGTACTGAAGGCACTACGGGCTTTGGTAGGGGCCATTGCAGGGTCAAGCACGAGCAAGGGGAACATCTTCCTCACTGAGATCCTATCTTGTTTTCCTCAACAGGTACTACACAACAATACCCGTCGAGGGGTGGAGCTTCGACTAGGAAGGTACAATCCATACCCGAGGGCAAAAGAATCTTCCAAGTACACCCGTTGACGGTGGACATACTCCCGGGTCGACTTCCCTTTCTTATATATAAGTTTTCGTCTCTGCTCCGTTTGAAGCCTCGCAGCTGTCGCAACGCTCACAGCTTAGTAGTTGGGAACGCCCTTTTTTGTCCCCAGGTATGGACTGCTTGAAGCGCGCTCGAAGCGGTGAAGATCAGCCGTAAAAATTCCACCAAGCCATTTCAAAATTTCACGACTTCCAGGTGGATCCCTCGTACTCTTGACGCTAGGCCACCCTCCAGCGGGGCCTGAGCCATGTTTGTTCATCTGCATCTTTTTATCGAGTAAGCGCGCAATATTCTATCATGGCCTAGCCAGTGACAGGCATGCCGTGTTCTCACTGGGAATCCAACCCTCCCCTCCCCCCCCCAAACAACATGGCGTGGGGAAGCTCGCTCGAAAGTGGCCCCTACCGAAGCATATAGTGCTCGAATGTTTCTAATGGTTCCCTGAACCATGAACTTTTTCAGTCACGTGCACAAATCGAAGCCTTAGGTTACCGTTATGTAACGA